TAAACACATACACATTTTCCAATCTTCAAATCCTCTTAAAGGTACTCCTGCTAAAAAATTCTACTGTACCTACCAGCATCACCACCATCTTGACCGGAGCCTGCTTCAGCCAATAAATTTGCATTCACATTCCTATCACAATCTGGCCCTGAGAGTAGAGCACCATCCAGATCTGAAAAGGAGATATAGAATAGTCTGTTATTTACAACGACACCACAGCAGTTGGCCAAAACATCACTCTTTCTCAGAACTGTTTCGTATGCAGAGTAAATAGAGTATCTGCAAGTACTAAATATCTACTATGTGCTTAACGCTACAAGACACAGAAGCATATAAGACATGGTTTTCAATCACAAGAACAAGTGCACATTCAACATAAGTACAGTGTAGTAGATAGGAATGAACTTAAGAGCCAAGGTGAATTAGGTACCCTGGCTCCACCTGTATGAGCATGTCTGCTTCCTCATATGCATCCACCTATATCATAGATTTGATACAGAAATTCAATTAGGTGATGCAAGCCAAATGTTATAATAATGGTGTCCGGTACCCAAAGATAGTTGCTAATGCTAATATTAAGCACTAAGGTATGAAACATTATTGTTTCTGTATTGTTCAGAAGTGGAAAACACCAATTAATATTGAACTGGTAAAGGAAGACTTCAGAGAAGAGGTAATTCCTAAGAGTTACTCTTGAAATATGGAAAGGCAGCATAAAAGGGCATACTGATGAGATGAGTACTGTTAGTTCCAATCTGTTAATTTCCCTTGAATCTGTTCCGCTTCTTCCTTTTCTCTGCCACTGTCTTAATTCAGGCAGCCTTCATTATTCTCCTAGATTAGTTAGTGAATTACTGAAATGGTCTCTTTGCTTCCAAAATACAGCGCTCCCACTTCACTTCCCACAACACTGCCAGAGGTCTCCCCAAAACACAGAACTTCATGTTGCTACTTTACTTCAACAGTTCACCAATTTTTTTGGATATTCTTCAAACTCCTTAATTTAGAATACAAGGTCCTAATATTCAGGTTCCTACTTAGGAATCTAGCATCATCCCACAGGTAACCATCTACTCTCTCAGATGAACTAAGCCTCAGAAGACATTTTTCAAATGCCATTTATAACGGACAACCTCTCCTCTACCTTCAATTCAAGACTTGTCTTTGGTATCACCATCCTGTACTGCCAAGAATTCAAGGTGACGACTAAAGCATGCATTACTTTCATTTCATTCAATAAATACTGAGCACCTTGGAGGTCACCTGATGATCTTAAGAGTGATACTGGTGGATCAGCTGGCAGGTAAAGATTGAGAATGGCCTGTGTTTTGAATAGAAGATGAATTAGAGATATAATACAGTTTGAGAAATTTGGCTGCAAAGGGGACGAGTGAGAAATAGGTCACAAGTTTTGGGTTTATGGTGAAATAAACACTTAAATGCTGAACGGAAGAAGTCACTATGAAAAGATACTGAAGAATACTGCAAAGAGAAGAAATGATCACTTTCAAGATTCCTAGGGAGTCTGGGATCCCAAAGCATAAGACAATCAGTATATTTAGAGAGAAGTTTGAAGACAGGAACTTAAATATATTCTAAATGCTCACTGGCTTTTACCTTCTCTGTAATGTAAAACAGTAGAATGTGAGGCTACTGCCTAGAGTAAAGGGGTTGAAAGTCTGGAGAATGAACAAGTAGTTCACGTGGAAAGCAAGAACAGTAAATTAGACACAGACTCCTTTCCTGTCCTTGAGAGTAAGAAAACTGCTTAGATTTTTTTTCCCCAGTATTTATCATAGTGCACGACAAATAAAAGGCTTTTCAACAAATGTCATTATATGTTGGCTCGGGTAGTCTGCCCTTTGCAACTTGTGTTACTAACTTAGTTTTAACTTAGAATAATTTCTCAGCTTTCTGGTATATAATACCAAAACATCCACAAACTGAAAATAACTAACTGAAATGTACTGACTTTTCTTTCCTATGAAAAATTAAATGGATTTTAATAATAAAAATTTTTAAATCATTATCAAAACAATTTTATTTTCCCAGTATCTTTTGTAAAAAATCATTATTCTAAAGTGTACATTATGTTCAGAGGGCACGTCTTAAAATTCTGCCAGGTAGGTTTGTAAATACAGGATGTTTCCATTTATGTAACATTCTATAGTGATTTGTTGAAGGCTTCCTCAGCTAGTTCTTAAAATAGACATTTCCTGTCTCCTACCTTACCTCTAAAGTATGAGAATTTAATTTGTGATCTTTAATCTACATGGACACTAAGTAGAGGACACCTCAACCTAAAAGCTTAATAGATGGCAAATGTCTTCTGTGTACAGTAACAAAATCATTCCCATGCTACAGATATAAACTCCTTTGAAAGGTACCAACTACTTGGTTCTTGACACCAAAAACAAATCTCAAAATAGGTGAGTTCTTCCAGGTTGACAATAAACTTTCATGAAAGCGTGCTTAACTCAAGAATCAATACATCATACCACCGCTGTACCTTATCTGAATCCAGGCAAACTGCCTAACAGCGTTATGTTTAATCAATTATGTTGATGTGAGTAATACAGAAGCCAGGCAACTAACCATTCACAATATCAGAATGAATTCTGCTTCACTATGAACTCTTGGTCATCATCTTTTTATCAAAAAAATACAGGATTAAATAACAAACTCTACTATACTTTGCTTTTGTGATATTCATGACTTTCCTATGGAAATCTTTCTCTTAGTTTTTTTTAATAGCAGATATATGTACACCATGTAATAACATTCAAATGATCAGGGTTAAACCATAAGCCACATACAATTTCTTCAGTTTATGAATGTCTTTTCTCCAGTTAACAGGTAATAGTAGATCCCCTCCTCAAAAGAACACAAAAACAGAAAACCAGAGTTTATACATAAACCAATAAGACCTGTATATGCTATCTCATTTAAATTTCACTACATATTTACATAGTATTAGTAAAAATACTCTTATCCTCAACCTTATAAGGAAACGAAAGCCCAGTGCAGCAAAGTGCTGCATTGTTTAACTGTATTACACTGCCTCCTGATAACGTAAGTAAGTACCAAACCTGACATAAGGCAGGCAGGCAGGCAAAAAAAAAAAAAAAAAAAAAAAGGCACAATTTGCAATGCTGGAAATGAGAGTACTGAAGCAAAGTAAACCCATCTTAAACTTACTTTCTTGGTGATACTCGACATATTTTGCTAAATAAAGAAAAAGAAAAAAACCTACCTATACTCTGTATGAAACTACCATTCATTTTACTAATTTAATAAAAACATCTCCCAAATCTTAAGTGTACCTAGTTATTAGCTGTCACTGTTCTTTACAGTAATACATTTGTCCATTTTCAAAGCAACTTCCTCCTTAGAATTCATTTTTTAGTAATTCTGATTAACCATGTACTGTAAAACCATGCATTTTAAAAATGGGTACTCTTTTTTTTTTAAACATGATTATCAAGCAATGGAAACAGAATGAGATTTAAAAGATTATAAATTTCAGTCTCTATCTCTTGCCAAATTTATAACAATTATAACTTTATTTTCTTCACAAAGGAGAGCAGCAATATTTACCCACTTCACAAAGTTACTATGAAAAGTAACATTAATAAATAAAAAATACTGCATAAATTGTAAAGTGTGATACAAATCACACTGTTGTTAAATAAGGTTCATCTTGGTGCCTGTGGTTACAGGTTTTTCCTGGACCACAGTGGACTAGCATTAGCATCCCTTCCAAATCATCTGGTTAGTGGTACAGCACCTGCCTATAAATGCTAAATAAACAAAACTATGTTGGGTAGGAGGTCTTCCTGACCATTTGCTTTTTGGTTCTCAAAATTTCAAACATGAGGCAGGTGCAGGCTAATTCACATTTTCTTAAAACATAACTATTCTTGAAAAGATTGAAATTATGAGAGAAGACATCAGAAATCAAAGGTATAGAAATAAACTATTCTACAAAAACTCTTAAGAGACTCAGTAAGGTCTACTCAACTTTTTGTTTTCATTTCAATATATCCTAGCATCAAAGTTCTCTTCTCTGAAGACAGTTACAGAAAACTAAGTTTTTAATTTTTGTCATAAACAAGTAAAGATTTCTTTTCATTCATTGCAATCAGGTTTTTCCCCCTTTCAGTGGAGCGGAAATTCAGTTACAAATGTATTATGTACCACTGACAGTTCTACAGCAGCCTAGAGACTCAAAAGAGCAGTATCCCTTCACTCCCAAACTCCAAGACTCAAATGAGAGCCCGTCTTAGACTAGGCTCTGTTTCTTCTTTGCTCTACTCAAGCAAAGCTGTTATTTCTCCCATGACTGGGCCTTAACAGGTGTCCTCAGGACACTCCCCACTCCAATCCTGAACATTTCCCCAAGTATTTTTATGTTAAAGGCAAATATAAACAGTTGAATCTCTAATTTAAAATCTCACACTACCTCAGGGTCTATAAAATAAAATTCACAATTACCATGCCAAACAGAGAATCACAATCGGGCCCCACCTAACCTATCGACACAACCTCATCTCCTGACTACTCTTTCATGCACTTACTCCAATTTCTTACCACCTTGCAGTCAGTGAATGAATGCCCTTCTCCCTCTCCTGGCAAACTCCTACACAATACAAGATCCACTCTAAGAAGCTTTCTCCAACTTAATATTATGTGACAAGAAGACAAAATTAGTTAGAGCTGTGGTTTAAAAACATTTACGAAGAATCTGGGGAAGTCAAAGTTCCTATAAGAGATCCACAAACCCAAATGCGTTAAGCACTGAATAATTCACCATGACTTTTCAGATGTTAGGTATAGAAATTTAAATTCCCTTAAAAGCATTTATTTCACTAACAATTTTCACTATTTTCTCAATAAATAAAAATGAAAGTATAACCAATAGTGTAGATTCATTGAAATGTTGGAAGTTTTAAATGGGCCTCATTTTTTAGAAGACTGGATCTACTAGTTTATTAATTGCCAAGGTTTTAATGTCCGTCCTAAACATGGAACCTGCCTCTATATTTACTAGCTGAATGACCTTGAGAAAGGCCTTAACCTTGGTAAAATACAGACTCACTACATTCTTTACTGATCTGAATTTACCTGGAGATTTCTAGTCAATTCTGTGCACCAAAATTTCAGGGCGAAACAAACTGTCTGTAACTATCAAGACATAATAGAGTTTGGAATTCACAAGGTGGGAGGTACAGCACTTAGCCTAGAAGAAGGGGACTTCTTGGGAATTTTTTAAACTTAATATCTGAAGGGTTATCAGGTAGATTAGAGGTTAGGTTCAGATTATACTACTCAAAATGGCACAATTAGGAAGTTAAAGAGAAGCAAATTTTAGTTCAATATAAAGTAACTTCCTAATAGTCATATTCATCCTACACTGGAACAGGCTGTTTAAAAAAAGCATTCTACCTACTGAAGCGAAAGGTCAAGCTGAGGCTGTAAGACCACCTACCCAGCATGTGGGAGAAAGTACACTGCTCTGGAAAACTGATTTGAAATACTCTTAACATTTTTAAGGGGGCTAAGATGACCATAACAGTTATGTTTTTAGTGTTTGTCATTTTTCATAATAATCCTGTAAGTAGCACATTTTAAAGAAAAGAAAACTGAGGGCAAGTGTTTAGCTTAATTTGATTATGGTAACACAGTGGGTAAGTGGCAGAACTCATGTTCAAATCCTGACTCAATTTTGGCTCTTTCCTCTTTATCAGTGGATCTTAACCTTGGCTTACAGCACAATCACCTGTAGAGTTCATAAAAATTTCAACAAACAGGCCACATCCCAGACCAATTAAACCAGAATCCCTAGTGGAGAGATCCAAGCATCATGATGGAATGTAAAGTCCCCAAGTAATGCCAACATGCAGCCATAATTAAGACCCACTGCTCTATTCCAAGGGTTGGCAATAAAGCTTTATTGGAAAATATCCATGTTCATTTCTTTACATACTGTCTGTGACTGCTTTCATGCTATAATGACAGAGTTAAGTAACTGACCTTATGACCAGCAAATCCAAAATATTTACTGCTTGGCTCTTTCAGTAAAAATATACTAGCCTTTGGCTCTCTATCATATTATGTCCTAGCTCTTATAAGACCCATTTTGTCTCACTGATGAAACTGGATTCAGAGGCACAAAAAAGTTATAAAAAGTTGGAATGCAGCACATCAATGATACAACCAAAATTGTGACTTAAGCAAAGTTCAGATATCAAAGTGATATCAAAGACATAATAGAGGTATATATTAAGATATGAGCTAAATTAAAAGCATATTAGACTACCAAAAATTAATTTATGATAGAGCTAGTCCAACCTCAGCTAGAGGTGCTTGCTAAGACAACCACTAGTACTGCTACTTTTGAAAGGATGCACTGTGGTTCAAATCACTGCTTTTCTTCTCTTTGAATGACTCCAATTTTAAGAACAGGGTTGACTCTGATTAGTTTTGTCAAACTACTACCCCCTCCAAAAACTCCTTATTTTTCAATTTGTTTGTGTATCTATATGCATTTTTAAAAAATACTGCAGGGTTTGCACCATACTATTAATTAATCCATGCAGGAGAAAGACAATGTAACTTGAGAACTGCTTCAAGGTCTTGTATATTAAAAATTAAGCCAAAATATAAAGTGCTCCTAAGAAAGTCTACTTACCCTTTATATTTTAAAGAAACTACCTCTGGGGTTTTATTGCTAAAGGCTTAATAAGTAGGAGGGAAAGGATCAGCCAATAGTATCTGTTATACGTGCATACTAATTTTCACATGATTAAAATTTCTACCAATGAAAACTAAACCCAAGCCAGAGGAACCATTTCATAGGATTATTGTAATAATAATCACATTTTGCCCTTTGGGAACTAAAAATAATGATTCTTTTTTTACAGAAAGTACTCCATCCCCAGATGATCACAATGATATAAATCAGACACTGAACCGTTAAGAGCTTTGAGGCAAAAGAAGCACTAAGTCATGTATGACAGTGGTGGACAGGTCTGGGGTCTGCATAGGAAAACCTCAAACCCACTGGGGCTGCTTCTTCAAATAAAAGTAAACACAGACAACTAGAGAAAAATTTTGAATCTGTTTTCATTCTTTAACAATGGTCCCCTACAACTCTACTTTTCTAAAGACCCACACTACAAGTGATATGCTTAAAGTTCTTGTATACATTTCTTTGGGAACATACTGAAGAGAGAGGTCTCAGGCCTCTTTTTTGAGAACAGAAAAGGAGTTTATTAGGATATGCTGCTATAGACCACCTGTGTGAGCCCAGAGGCCTCTCTCTTAACTAATGCAAATGAGAAAATGAGGTAATAATAGGACAAACTTAAAATATTCCAGCTTCTGTAAGATTTATAGGAAGAACAGAATAGTAGCTCTAAACAAATTAGAACTCCACTATCATTTGCAAAATCAAATGGTTACACTCCCTCCTCCAAAAAAGTGAAGAATGCTAACTAGATCTCAAAAATGTTCTGAAATGACAAACTATCACATACTTAAACCAAAGACTATCTTCACATACTTAAACCAAAGACTATCTTTTCCAGCACTGGGTGCAAAAAAAGAGCACAGAGGCTAAAGATCATGAAAGTCAAAGAACTATACATAGAGTCCACATGCCATAAAACAGGCAAAATGCCTGATTTAACACAACCTTTGGGAAATCCACATATACATGCCTGGAGAAAAAAACTAAGATATACCAAAATTATGTACTTGTTTGAGTGATATCCCCTCTTCTGTAATAAACACTTTAATTTAGTATTACTTTAAAAAAATTTTTTTTTAATGGAGGTACTAGGGATTGAACCCAGGACCTCGTGCATGCCACTGAACTAGTACCCTCCCCCTGTATTACTTCTTTACTTAAAAAATACTTTAAAAATATACTTCCAGATTATATGCAACCAGAATTAGAATGAAAACTGAGATACCTTTGTATCCACAATATTTACCTGGTTCTTCCTTGATGAATGACAAATCTTCTTCTGGGTAGGTAACAGGCGGCTGCATCACTGAGCAATCTTCTAAATTTGTTTCATTATTAGGTGGTATATTATAAATAAATCTCTTTGTAGCTTGAGTTTTCCTCCTGGTTTTGCCAGTCTCTTGAATTCCCTGGGAGCCCATATTATTCCAAATAAACACTTTTGTTTGACCTTGAGTTTCATTTTCAGCCAATTCAGGTGAGCCATCCTGGACCCAACTACTGTCATTCATTTGATAGTTTTCCATTTGGCCCTCATCGACGTTACAACCATCATTTTCGATTTTTACATTACTCGCCAAATTGGTAAGATTCCGTGTTGCCCAAAAACTGGCAGTTTTTTGATCCCGTGATGAAGACAGGCCATCTCTGTTAACTGGTTTTCTATTATTATAGTCCACAACTACAGACTCTGGAGCTTCTGATTTAATGCTGATATTTAAGGCATCTTTAATGAAATTTCGGCAAGTTTGAACAACTTCACTCATTTGAAGATAGCTGGCCACTGTCATCACTTCAATGGCATTTTGGCTTGTGAGCACCAGGTTACCAGAATACAAGAAGTCCAAGATGACTGAAAAACCTTGAACTGCAGCAATGTCTAAGTGGGTAGTATTGTTTTGGTTAGGGCTTTCTTTGTTTGAAAAGCAATATAAAGTCTTAAAGAAACGGCTGCCTGCAACCAGGATGTTCTTATGAGCCTTAAAGATTTTTCCGCTCACCACAATGCTGACGTCACAAAGAATACCTTTCTTTCTCTGTTCATTTAGTTGTCGAAGAAGTTGATAGCAGTACGAGTTCTCATTCGGCCTGCTATTAAAGTCACAGTATCCCTCCTCTGATGGCATTTCTGGCTCCTGTAATTGGATGGAAAATATTAATATTACATTTTGTTTAAAGCCTCCAAACCAAACAAATATTATCAATATAACTTTTTAAAAAGCATTAATCAAGTACACTAGTTTGTTAGTAAGGTTATGTATTGAGATGGAAGTGTTCACAATTCCAAATACTGAGAGGGAAGGAGTGAACAGCTTGCTGCAAGCCACTGCTACCATAAGAAAAAAAAAAATCAAACCCATCCTGAGGATCAGCAGAATTTCATTTAAAGAATAATATATATCATGTATCATGTTACTCTTTTCAAATAGCTATGGGCATGGACTAAGGTTTAAAATTTTAAAAGAGCAATTCTTTTCTCATGTAAATAAACTTTCATTTACAGCAATCAAATTAATGTCAAATTCTTTTACTAATAGGAATTCAGCCACTTTCTCACTGACCTTAAAATACTCAAAAGTTAGAATATGCTGGGCATCTCATTATGCTTAACACTATTAAAGACAAAAAAAAAATCTCAGGAAACACTGAGTCAAATAGTTATACAAAGTTGTCTTTACCTTTAGATTAGATTTTCAAAATAGCTTATCTCTTTAAGGTCATAAATATTCTCCATCAGGTAAATTTTCTGAACTCAAAATCCTTAATGTTTATCACTTTCCTTCTTATCAATCGCACAAGTATTCGTTATAGTTCAGTTTAGCGTCACTAAAGTTATGGTATTTCCTGTAAGGGCCATATGATGATAAACCAGCAAGAAAAAGGCGCGTGATCTCCGTTTTGGAACACTGTCCATACTAGTCATTAACTGTGCCTTTGGGCAAGTCACCATCCCTGAGCCTACAAGCACTCTGAATGTTTCTAATTAGGAACTTCAGGACTTCCCTCACCCAGTGACTAGACGGGTAAGCTCCCTAGACTAGGCAGAGGTGTCTATCCTCTCAGCACCTGAATAGCACATGGTGCACTGTCCAATCACTTTGTAATCATTGTTTCCAACAGAAAAACTGCTCAAACATTTCTGAAAATGCTGACCTTACTTTAAGTATTAAAAATCCAAATTTTCTTTGGCACAAAATATTAATTCAAATACAAGTCATTTCTATAAAATAATGAAATATTTTAAGTGTATGAGCCTGGGAAAAACATGGAGAAGATACATACTGGATTGTAAAACATGCTGCGAGAACCGGTATGCTTGAAGGGGAGAAGGGAGGAGGAAGAATTAGGGGAAAAAGGGTTTAGGGAACAGAGGTGTTGTTAGGACTGCAAAGCGTTCTCCTGGAAACAATATTCTACATGGTGGTGAGACTCCTTAACAATCTCAAGTCTCCATTTAACCCCGTCACGGTTATGGCTAAAGTACAAAAACACTAGGTTTCATTCTGAGTCCTAAACACAGGGGGTCATGCATATAATAATCCCAATTCTTTGAAAGTACACCAGGTCACACGATCCATCTAAGAATTTCTGTGCTGCTTCCAGGTATGAGAAGTCAACCGAAGGAACCACAATACCAGAATTCCAGGACACTTTAGTGTTTCAGAGGAACAATGAAACATTACAGATAACCCTCAAATCTGGAATATACAGTCACTATAGAATAAAGCACAAAAGCAGAGAATTTCCTTTGCATTTCCAACTGACCCTTGGCTTGGCAGCCTCCCTATTACTTCCCATTGCCTCAAGTGCATACTTACACTTTATACTTATATGATAATCCCATCCCCACATTCTTGCTCTATCATACTGAAATGTCTCACATTCTAAATCAGTTATTTTCTCCTCCTACCAAAACACCCAATCCTAAGCAAAAACTGCTAACAGCCACAGTTGGGGGAAAGTAATCAAAACAATTCATGGCTAAGTCCCAAATTTTTGCTTTTGGGGGCTGGAGGAAAGAAAGTGAGGTAAAGACATCAAACTATTTAGCAAAGGGGAATGAAAATGTTTAGGACTTATACGAATATATAAATAACTAAACCAATACTAAAAACAACTATAATAATTACTGCTATACTCTAAATTTTCTATAAAAGCATCATACAGTTTACTTGAGCTCCCTTTTATGAAACTGCTTGAGTAAGACTTTTCACTAATTTGCTTACGCTCTTCTCTATTCACTACAGAAAATTTCCAAACTGCATCTTTCTTTGATGCAAGCCTGAAACTAAGTTTTGCTATGCATGCCATACCTGCAGAGCAGTGCTCTTTTGGTTCAAAGTTCTAACAGATATTATAGTAACAGTAGGAATACTTGGAAGAATCAAAAATTTTAAGCACTGATCGAAGTTTGGCAGCACATCATGAAGTGTTTATGGAAGCAGTGAATTAGCATTTACAAGTAAGAACTGCCTGAAGTTTATATACCAAGTAGTTCAAAACACTTTAAGGAGGTGGCTGTGTCTAACTGTAGCAGTCATTTTAGGCTAAGGTCACTGTGTTCTGAATTTTCTGAGCCAGTCCCAATTTCTGCAATTCTCTGCCATTATCAGATCAAATGTCCTAATTTTTAAAAAGAACTTAGACAAAAGCCTACCCACCAAAACATTTGCCCATTCTATTTTTGACATGAACTATATAAATCAAACACTATTCAACCACCAGTTTTTCTTATTACTACTGTGTAAGAACAGCAATGGTCCCTGCTTTTACAAGCACCACTAGTAATTTCTCCTTCACTACCGATCACAGCACTATGCCATGTTGTTGTAACACCTATTAAATACGCCCTTCATAATAAAGGGTTTACAAGTTGAGCGAGTATATGTACTCTCCAAGGGGAGTATTATTTGAGGATTTGGGTAAAACAGAGCTAAATAAGCACTAAAATTGCCATTATTTGCTGATCCAAATAAATGGTCCCTAAGAACTCATTCAAGTCATCAGTCTCTCTGGTTCCTTCTTTAACAGTCTATGCCCATCCTTAGTATATTGATAAAAATGAGCTATCACGGGTAAATAAAAAATACACTGATGAAAAATCAAACATTTTGTTATACCAGAGATTCTATAAACATTAACAAGTTTTCATTTTTTTATTTGTGAAGATGCTCATAATTACAATTTTAGATCTAGAAGAGATCTTAATTAACCCTCCCAAATCAAGAAAATATAGACGTGTACATTTAGTTAAAACCCTCATACCTTACTATCTTCAAATTTATTCCCAGAGAGGCCAAAAATTAGTAAATATTTTGCTCAGAGAAAAAACTGATAAATGCTTGAAAAATTCTGACTTTATTCACATTGAATGAGCACTAAGGGAATGCCTAGTTTAGACAGGTTCTACACTGGAGACCCAAAATGAATTAGTTTCCAACTTAAAGTTATCACTGGTGGGCAAGATTCTCAAGGTACTGAAGAGTTTAACAAGGGTGTTACGAGAATAGAGGAAGTGTATCTAATCCCATTTTGGGGGGTGAGGGGGCGATGCTTTTTGGAAGAAAACCCTGAGCAGAGCCTTAAGAGATGCAAGGATGGGATAGGAGGATGAGCATTCTAAGCAAATGAGAAAACATGAGAAAAGGAACCAGGATGGTCTACAGCATCCTCACAATTCTAATTTATAAAAGAACTTCAAGGTGATTCCCCCTCAAACCCAAGATTTGCAAATATGCACTTATGAATATTTTTGGAGGTATGTGTCTACAACTTGCATCAGATTATTAAGATGTTTGAATCTGGTACAAGATTAAGAGCCACTGCCTACTGGTGCCTACAGAGCTTTAGAAGTAGAGTGATCTGACTGGATTAGTAGATCAAGAGGACTGTGGCAGCGGAAGTGGAGGATAAATATCAGGGGATGAAGACTGAAGACACTGGGGACCAGGGAAAGCTACTGTTAACAGTGTAACACACATACTAGCAGGAAACAAGGATCCCAACTAAGTAAGACAGATGATATTAATGGGGGAAGGGTAGTGAGACAGCCTAGAAAAAAATTTGGAAGAAAAAAGATTTGGAAATCAGACCTTGAGTGATTAACTAGATTTTAAGGTGGAGAGGGAGAATCACAGGGTCTTCATAGCATTCTAGGTGGAGAAGCTAGATAATGCCACCAACCTGCAGAGAACTGCCCTAGCCAGGAGGAGAGTGGGAGGTAACTCCAGTTGCAGTGAGTTCATCTGTAGTCAATCCATAAATGATAAGAAAAAGCTATTTGGCTAAAAATCAAGTAATTAGTATTTACTTCCCTATCCAGAATTAGAGTCCTCTTTTGATAAACGGATTGAGAAAAAAAGACATTTCCAACAAACATGAAAGTGTAAACTGAAAGCATTAAAAACAAAAATCTTCACTACTTTTGTTGCAGCAACCCACTGGAACAGTACATTGAAAAAATAAAAACCTAATGTCCACCTACAACTCCTAATTTTAAAAAACCAAATTCAATTTCTAGCATGAGGACAAAGGACGGCACAGCAAATGTATGTCAAATAGATGCCTTCTGGTGGTAATGACAAATTATAATAGTCAATAGACAAAGAAAGGAAGGTCTCATTTGCAACCTTCTGTCGCTTCTCTGATCTCCTTGAGTGATGGCATCTTCTCTTGCAGTTTCAGAAATTCTACATCTATAGGTCTGGGGTAGAATTCTTCAGGTGATTATAACATCCAGCCAATTTTAGATGCCAAAAATATGCTTTATTACCAGCTCTCCTCAAAACCTACTACATCCACACTACATAGGTACTTCTATACGTATTTCATCATGGAGAGTTCACTTTTGCTTAAAAACTGCTAAATTACCCATTTGTTAAACAGAATAAAATACAATCGTTTCAGCATGACAGGAGATTGTCCATATCCTGGAGTCTATCTGCCTATTCAAACCTGATTTTTCATGCTGCTCAACAACCAAATCATCCACTTCTTAGACACATCAAAGCATCAATTTCCATTATGCTCAAGCTGCTTCAAACTGCAATGCCTGGAATGCC